ATAAAAGTAATCCCCAATCTTAATAAAAAGCAAAGAGGAACACAAATATACATTAGTAAAAATACTCATTGTTTGACACAAACTTGTTGACTCAACAGAACATAGAACACCCAAGAATATAAAACTATAACTAAACATACAAGAAAACAACCGACGAAGTACACCTTCAAACCCGGTATACCAGGACGGAATTGGCGCCAAAACAAAATAAAAACCAATACAACAACCACGATTTCGCCTATCCTACTTTTTATTGAGCGTAGAATAGCATAAAATGGAAGAAAGTACCACTCGGGCTTTATATTAGTTGAGGTGGAAAGAACATTTGGATCTATAAAGTTTTCCTTACACCTTGTTAATCCTGGACTATAACAAATCAACAACATAATAAGAAACAACACCACTAATCACACAAACACATCCTTACGCGTATACAACTTGTGAAAAAAAAAGAATCCGAATACTTATCACTTCTTTTAAAAGAATCCCTAGAACCCACCTTGTGTAAACTCACTATATGCAATAAAATAAAAAAAATAATAACAAAACCAAAAACAACATGAATCACAAATGCTCGACTTATGATTTTGTTAACAAAATCATAAGACCCCAACAACTACACATACAACGTTGGGCCCACAAAAGGAATAGATAAGAAAATTCTACTTATTACCACACCAGCTCAATATGACAATTGATGCCAAGGAAGCAAATAGCCCAAAAAGGCCTCAGCCATAATAGAAACATACAACACAACCCCCAAGCTTCACATCAGGTGATTCTTTCTGTATCTTCTAAAATAAATCGTACGACCCATGTGAACAAAAAAAAACGAAAAGCAACCTAGCGCCTCACAGGTGTAAAAATCGCAATAATTCAAGAGACAAACCATCTATCATAGGACCAGGTTCTCCAATAGGCTGACAAAGTCCAAACATGGAACTCACAAACTTCACATACTCAACAGAACAAACAAAACAACTCACTAGCCGAATAATCATAGCCACTCCTGCCATGGATCCACTACGCCAAAACAAATTTAGTTTACCCCTTGTTGGCATTTCAACACGAGGTGTGTACATAGAATAAGACATAAATCGATTTATCACCACTTAAATTAAATAAAGATTTTATCTTTTACCCAAAAAATAGACATAATTTATAATATACTAAGATGAGAAAACAAACAATAGTAGAATAATAAAAAAACAGCAACATAAAACCAACAGAATTTAGTCTTGCTATCTCTAAAAAAACACAAGACACTAGTTTGGAGTCCCAGCGATAATGACCAACCAACCCAATTTTATGAATTCAGCCATAAAAATATTTAAAGAAATATATTCATAAATCCATTCCCATCAAACCCAGTACTCATACAGACACAACACAGAACAAGCATAAGAAACCGCTACACCCAAAAAACACCTATAGTCGAACAAAACAACAAACAACCACTAATACACAAATCCAGTTCTCAACAATCAATAAGCAAATCCTCTAAAAACTAATTTATGATACTTAACATTGGAATATTTCTAAAAAAATAATTTTTTTTATCAAACCTCATTATATAACCTGACCTACCCAGCATACACAACAGAAATAAACGAACATAATAGCAAAATCATAAAACTAGCCCTAGTAAACACACAACCAAATACAAAATATTTTATCAAGACACCCTGGAAAAAGAAAGATGCTTAGAAAAAAAACACCCATTAAGGATAGGCCACACAACCTAAACACAATAAAAAATAAGGAACTAAGCTTCCACAAACTCTTAAGACAATAAAATTTTATATATTTTTGTCTGCCGCCTCCACTACTCATAATAATACCAACCCTGATAAAAAGACCACACTTAGCAATACCGTGACACAACAACTGAATTAATCCCAGGGTTAGCCTGCCCAAGAAAAAAAAAGCAAACACTACGATATTTTTTTTTCTTGCTCAAAAAAACCAATCGCACAAAAACCAGTAATAAAAATAGTAACAAAGCAATAGACCACAATTATATCACTAACCATCTCCATCCCATCAAATAACCACCCGTAACAATACACAAACCACATGCCTCCTGCAACCAAGGTAGAAGAGTGCACCAAAGCACTAACTGGCGTTGGTGCACGTATCGCTTCTAACAACCACGAAACAAATGGAAAGGCGGCCCTTTTAGTCAACACAATCACCACAATAGATAAGCATAAAAACCAACCACTAAATTTTTTGCATATAAAACCATAGCCAACCAAAACAAAAAAACCAACATCACCAACACGAGAAACCAACATAGTGATTAGACCAGCACGCAATCTATCGGAGTTTGAATAATAAAGAATCAACAAATAACTAACTACACCCAGATACTCTCACATCAACAAAGAAAATAAAAACCTGTTTCTTACCACAAAGCCACACTTAATAAACAAGAAAACAACAATTAATTACTACAGAACTGTTCGACTAAAGAAATAGTGATCGCAAAAAAAAGACTTAGAGATCCATAAAAAAATATATCAACAAACACATAACACTACAAACTCTGATCGTCCACTCCACCTCCAACACATCAAACAATATTCAAAAATATCAAAGGAATACACCCAATCACTACAATAAGAAGCACCCAATAATACAACAACCTCATAAACAACAGAAGAAATAAAAACAAGCCAGACAATCTTTGATAGAGAAATAACCTTCCCTCTCAACTTTAGACGAAATATAGTCCTAATTATTAGTTTATCAAAGCACTAATAGCGATAATTTCATATAAGGCGCTCAAGGTCTGCCCATTTAATCTGGCATTAATGCTAATAGATATTGTGACTCACCCACAATGCCCTTTATCTTAAATTAAAGTGAAAACATCTTCTTTATCTACCCTTAAGAGGCTCTAGTGAGCATGGAAGGCACCTAAGGCCTTCTCATTTAATCTAGCACCCTCAAAGCCATTAGCATATACTTGTGAAAATAATTCCTGTCACGAATCCTTATTTCGCAATGATTTTTAACGAGTTCTAAATTTCTATAGCAATATCTGCTCTCTTCTAATGTTTATAAAAACTTAAACTTTGTAGAATTAACAACTTTTCAAGTTAGCATTTGTTTTGCAAGCATTCCTGCACACAGCGGAATTAATAAAATAACTCGAGTTAGAACATGAATAAAGTAAATTTTAATGCTTCACTACCATTACTCTTCATGAATGAGTTTCACGCTCATTATCTCTTCCTCGTCAACCAGTCGCCACTCTTAATTCTGAGTTTTATTTTCTTAATATTATTTTGAATGCAAATCGATGGGTATCAATTAGGTTGATTAAATTTTTAGTCAATGCAAACTCACATCTTAACAGTTCATATTAGGTAGTTTACTAGCATGAAATATTATACACCTTACGTCATAACTATAGTTAAGGGTTGTACTGCCCCCTCACTGGTGACGAAATAATAATTCCAAATCCCATTCTAAACTTACTAGAATGCAATAGGAATCGTCAAATATGGAATTATTCAGAAAAGGTTTCGAGTTTATAGTGAATTATATATTTATATATGATAGATTAATACTATAAAATATATATGTATTGTGGGTTATATTGTATTATAAAGTTGCTTGACTTTGTTTTCACAATTTGTTCATATTGGAAGGAAGAATTAGAGGAACGCACATTTTCCGCAGTATATTGTTTGCCTAATCATTCTCAAAGTCGGACCGTAGAAGAAGTACCTTTCGAAATTTTCGCCAGCATCATAGTTTGCATCGTTAGTGAGTATCGCCATTCTTAGCACTATACAACAACTCATCAAAAGAGATAAGTAAAGCCGATTCTTTGACCAAAAATATGCTAAACAGTTGTTCTATCTACCCTTTTACCCTGGGCTATTTGTATTTCCTATATCCTCCTATCACACCTTCACTGTTACACTTTGTTTCGTGCTTATTTCCATTTTGTTTGGTGTGCTCCTTTAAGCGGATTTCATGAGAATCCTTTGCACTCCATGCTGGCTTTCTCATGCCCTTTACCCTTCTGCTTGGAATGTTGATCAGATCTGCCATATCATTACGCAATCCTCCTTCCATAACTCTTATCGCAGTCTCTATCTTGCTTGTAGGATACTTCTGCTCTCTTCCTCGTTCAAGTATTTCACTTGATTCATTTCACTCTATCTGTTGTCCAAAAGGCGTTATTTCCCACACTCTGCGTCTGGAAGACTAATTTAAGGCTCAAGCCTCTGAGTAAGTCTCTAATACCAAGGCTATGACCTAGTCTCTTGTATGTCGACACACAAATATTGTGGTACTGCTCGCTTTGGTTAGGTTAAATATTGAACCACAACGTTTGTAGGTTGGCACACAAGAGACTAGGGCATAGCATTTCATAGACTTGGTATTAACGATAGAAAGAGGATAGAAACATTGGAAGCTAGATCTA